ATGGCGCCAAGCTAGTGCCCGGCTAGCGCCCGAATAGTGCCTGAAAAGGAGATAGTACCCAAATGAGCCCTTCATAGTGCCCAAACGATTCTTTTTTTGAAAAAGGAAGGAAGACATCAACGTGTTGAAGGTACTTTCTCCGGTGGTAGACAGACCCCTGTCGGTAGACAGGGGCGAAACGTTTGACCTTTGTTTTAAGAAAAAACAGACATGAATTTTGTGAATGGTTTTTCATGGTCGTTTTCCCACTTGTTTTCAGGTGGCATGTGGCGCCATGAAATCTGTGGGTTTTCCGGTCCAAGGTGCTGTAGCATCACGCGGAAAATTTTGTTTCAACGGGGCTCTGGGTGCAACAGGTTCCTTTTCAACCGGCTCCCTCCTGACGTTGCCCTTAGGGCCCGTGCAAGCCAGCCGTTTTCGGCTGGCGGATGGAAAGCGACGACGAGGCCTCCACTGCTGATTCCAGTGGTCGCTTCAGTCGTGTTAGCGAAGTCTGGTGCGTCCTGCAGCCCTCAGCTACGTGTCACTTGCTGAGTTGTCTAGGGCCACGTGAGACTGCAGCTTTCACTGCCTGCTGCTTTGATCATCAGGAGCACATACAGATTGCGCTAGTTTTCTTGGCCCTGCAAGTGCTGGCTTCATTTCTGAAGCTTGTCCGCTCTCCTGCGTATGGCGGCTCATGATCATGATGCAGCTCAGCCTTTCCCGCCCGAGCCTCCGCCAGACTTGTTTTCAGGTAACTGTCGCGAGCCCTTCGCTGTCGATGCCTGGGGTGGTTTCGGGACAGCTTCAGGTGAGGGGGGGGACAATACTGTGCCAATGGGATCCTTGGCTAGTTTTCCTCTAGAGGCTGACCGCCAATCTCAGTGGCATGACTCAAGGCAGGGTAGTTGCGAGGACGGTGCAATTTCTCCCCCTCTTTCCATCAGTGATATTGACCCCGGGGCGGTCCTCGAGGATCCTGCCGAGCATGTGCCGTCTGCCTGGGATTTGCTAGAGAATCGTATTGATTTTCCAGATAGTCACTATTTTGCTGACGACGAACATGATTGGTACTCTGAGGTGCGAGACAATGATGCTGTGCTTGTGCCTCATGCTACTGACGAGTCTGAACCTTTTGAGGTGGTTGATCCGGATGCTTCCTCACTTTGCATGTCGGAGCCGCCAGCTACCAGCAATTTTTACCTAAGGAGCCAGGGGATTTCCTTTGCTCTTCCTGATGCCCTAGAGCCTGCTCGCGAAGCTGACGATTTGAAGCGTGTGGCAGTGGAGTTATCTGCAAAGCGTCGCCGCACGAATATCCCCAAGCTTCCGTGGGAGACAGGTCCCATGAGCATGATTTTCTCTGCTAAGCCTGTCGTGCCTGCACGTGACTGGTCTTGCTCAGGTGTGCTGTTGAGTGCAGGCGCTTCTGAACAAATTGTGAGTGATGGTTTCGAGGGAGTGGCACCTCAGGAGCTAGGGCAGGTTACAGCTGCCTTTGGAAAGCGGCTTTTGCGCATGAGGGCTCCGACTTCTGAGGAGCAGATCCGCGCAGCTGCATTGAAACGGCTTAAGCTTCTTGTGTGTCTGGACCCAACTGCTTCGAAGCTCGGCGTGTCATTGCTTGACCAAATGCAGAACTTGTGTGATGATGAAACAATTGCTCGCTCCATCTCCGATGCATTTCGAGCGAAGGCCTCACAGACTTTGATCAAGAGGGCTGGGTCTCTTGAACGTTTTGCCAGATGGTGTTTTGATCAGGATCTGCCTTCACCCTTTCGAGCTGACGAGCAAATCATGTACAGGTACCTGTGCGACCTCAGGACATCAGGTGCAAAGCCGACGTCACCCAACCACTTCTTGCAGGCATGGCGTTTTGTGCATGGTGCCATCGGCTTGATTCACAGCCCGCCTTCTGAAGTGATCTCGACGAGGTGTGAAGGTGCCTCAAGAGACCAATACTTAACTAAAGCACCATTGCGGCAGAAGTCGCCCTTGACCCGCCAGCAGGTCGAGGAGCTTGAGCGTGGTGCTGTTGAAAGTGCTGATACCAAAGAGGTTTGCGTTTTGGGACAGATCCTTTTCTGTCTGCATGCCTCCTGCAGGTGGTCAGATAGCCAGCGTATTGTCAGCATTGTCCGCCAGGAAGCTAATGGTGTCGTGCTTTTAGTCGTCGATGCCTTGACTGCGAAGCATACCTATTCTCAGGAGAGTCAGCGAGTTTTACTGCCGTACGCTGCCCTGGGGCGAGGACTGTCGGGCCATGATTGGTCCGAGGCTTGGTTATCGGCGCGTGAGGCCGAGGGCCTGGTGGTAGGCAAGGACATGTGCCTGCCCAGCTTGCGCTCTGATGGTTCAGGCTGGCTAGGTGTCAAGATGAGTTCGACTGAGGGCCAGATCTTTCTTCAGGAGGCCCTTGCTGGTATTGATAAGAGTGCTGTTCCCCTCTCACAGCTGGGAACGCACTCACTTAAGGCTACCCTCTTGACTTGGGCTCAACGCTCTCCTGTCGTTCCTTTCAAGATGTGGGAACGTAAACTGATGGGTCACCATTCTCTTGATAGGGATAAGTCGCCCTTGACTTATTCGCGACAAGCTTATGCCACCCTCATGGGAAAGGTCCAGGCCATGTTTGAAAGCATAGTTGCCGGCAGTTTTGATCCCGACATGTGCGCTGCTGGTCGGGTTGCACAGGTGGCTGCTTCGTACCGTGCCAAGGGCAGTGATGAGGTTCAACGCATGGTGCGCAGGCAGGATGGTGACGAGGCGGCAGAGGCTGAAGCTTCAGGAAGCAGTGATCCAGCCGAGCCGCGAGATCATTCCTCTCGCTCCTCCTCGGGCGAAAGCGCTCGCCAGGTGGTCGATGCCATTGATCCATCGATTTTCTCCCGGGTGCAGTTTGAGGGTGGATGGGACCGGTGTCATACGCACGTCGTGTCCGGTATCGTTCACAAGCTCCGGAGCGGGGATGATTCAATTTTTGAGTGTGGGCGACTCCTGACCACAAACTATCTTCCTTTTGATAGGGCAGGTGTTTTGTCTGCTGAGCCGACCTGCTGCATACAGTGTCAGCGGTCGATAGCATCGTGATTGGATGTTGTGAGGTGGAAAAAATGAGAGGCGTACAGCACACGGTTGGGAAATGTCTTTCCCTGCAAAGTGCATGTGGCAGAACGGATCCACTTCGAGACTGTAGTCTCGACGTCAGTGGCCGGTTACATGATTGCCTTCAGTGTGCATGTGGCAGAACGGATCCACTTCGAGGCTGTAGTCTCGACGTCAGTGGCCGGTTAAATGATTGCGGAGCTTCTCCAGTTGAGCAATCGGTTTTTGCCGCCTCTTCATCTCAGTTCAAGAGCTCTTAGAACATGTGACAGGTTTCGTTTTTTTGGAGTATTCGAGAATCATTCATTGTCAGGTGATGGCCGTTGCGAGCTTGTTGAATTTTTGGGTATTCGCAGCTCAGTCATGTGCTCAGTGATGGTCATTGCTCGAGCTAGGTTTCTTTGGTACTCGGAGCTGTCCTTCAGGTTGTTAGGTGCGATGGCGAGTGTGACGCTTGAGTCGAAGGCTGCCTTCCTCGAGCGATGTCGGCGCATAGAGATGACTGAAGCGACCATCGAGGGGCTGCGCGCTGCCGGCTTCGATACTTTCGGGTCGCTAGGGTTTGCGGTGTGCGCCAATCCACAGGCCCTTGAAGAAGGGCAGGTCATTAAGTTCATTGGTGATACCTTTCCTGCAGGGCTTACCTTGAAGCAGTCAGCGTGCATTCGGAAACTGCTTTTCGAATCCCAGGCTTTATCTCTTCAGGATTTAAAGGCAAGGGTGGAGCCTCCGCCCGTTGATGCCCCACCTCGCAAGATGCCTGTTGCTGAGCGCCTGGCTCGTGAGAAAGCCCAGCGAGAGAAACTCAATGGACTCATCTGGGGTCCAGAGATGCAGCCTGGCCAAGGAGTGGTAGATGCCTGCGTGGACATGTTAGAGCAAAACGTGCTCGTGTATATGCCCCCACATAAGTTCGTGTCGAGGTCACAGGAGATATCTTGTGTAAAGCGTGACAAGTCTGTGCTTGTGGACACAGACGGCGGCCTCAAGGTGACAGCAAAGAATCATGACATGAGCTGTGATGCGTCGACTGAGTATGCTCTCCGCCAGGCCTGGCAGCGACGAAGTCTTGCTTTCGACTTGGCAGGGCTGGGGACCTTTCATGCGCTTGAGGATTGGGTCAACAAAATGTTCTTGGTTCTGTCGCGGCCCATCCCTCCGGGCTATAAGCCGGTCAACATACACCAGTTGATTAGTGCTGATCGTGCCCTCTTCATTCGGGCGGCCGACGCACTGGTGGGCAGCTTAACAGGTGTGCCTGGCCGTGCTAAGCCCCTGGACGAGCAAATTGTTCTGCTTCAGGACTCGCCTGAGATTGTTCAGTACGTGACTCTTTGCAAGGTAGTGACAATAAGCGGCCGTACACCCCGGGTGATGGCAGCGTGCCTCCGCCTGCTCCGCACAAGAAACCGCGACCGCCTCCAAAGGATCCGAAGAAGGCTGATCCCAACAAGCCGAAGAAGTTCGTGGTGCCTGACAATTGCTGTAGCAAGACTGATGATGGCAAGCCTTTGCTACTACTATAACACTACCGGCTGTAAGCTGCCTTGCAAGAAGGGTCGATGCCGCAGAGGAATGCACGTGTGCTGGAGAAAGAATTGTGGCAAGAGCCACCCTGGGTATGAGTGTCCTCTGGAGTGACTTGCATCCTCTGAGGCTGCTGCTAAAGGGTCGTCGTCCTCGGCCCAGGTTTTCCAGGCAGCGGCGGCCCCAGAGCCAGTCGACAGTCCTTTGTCGCCTGCTGAAGTTTTGTCTGAGCATGTCCTTTCATTGCCTTCTGTAAGCGTGGCAGCTGTTCAGGAGCTTTTCAATCTTTTGCCGCATGAGCCTCCCCCTCGAGGTTCCCAACAATCTGCTTCGGCCTCGTTCAGTACGGGTCTTTTTATGCATGGAGGCATGAGCGGACTGCGCCGCAATGCTCTCCGATTTCCTTTGACTACCCGGGTTTTGTGCAGATTCGTATCCGAGCGTGTCAGGAACTTTCGCTTCACAAGCTTGAGTCTTTTTCTCAACGTGAAGACCGATTTTCATATTGATTCCTACAATTCCCCAGGTGATGACAACTGCGTCTTCAAGATCAATGACTTTGGCAAAGGGGGGCGTTTGGGTGGAGCATCCCAATGGCCCCGCAGTTCGCACTGTCAAAGGTCAGCCCGTTGCTGGCCGCGTTCTTGAGTTTGATCAGGGTTATGTTCGGTTTAATGCCCGTGCCCTGCGTCATGCCACTGAAAGCTGGACCGGCGACCGCATGGTCCTGGTCGCCTTTACAATTAACGATCCCTCGGCCCTCACCCCTCAGGATCTAAGCTGCGCAGGCGCCCTTGGCTTCCCTCTCAGCCCTTGTGTGCCATGCCAACAGCCGTTTCAGGCTGGCGCTTCACTTGAGCCTCTAGAGCCTCGTCCTGTAGCTTTTGAGGTCTTCTCGGGTTCGGCTTCGCTGTCGCGTGAACTAGCTGCTCAGGGTTTCCAGGTTTTTGCATGCGATCGCGACACCACTAAGGCGCAGAGCGCAGCGCTCAAGCTGGACTTGCAAGAGGAGGCGGGCCAAAGTCTCTTCTGGTCCTTGTGGGCCGATGCAAATGCTGCTTATGTTCACTGTGGACCTCCATGTGGCACCGCTTCGCGCGCTCGCGAGCGTGCCATTCCTCGTAAGATGCGTGCTGCAGGTGTTCCCCAGCCTCCTCCACTGAGGTCGTCCGATTTTCCTTTTGGCCTGCCAAACATGTTGCAGTCTGCTGCGTATGGACCCAGGCTGCACGCTGCAAACCGGTTGTATCGCTTCACGGCCAAAATCCTGCTTGCGTGCCTGCAAGAAGAGCGGTATTTCTCTATTGAGAATCCCGCTTCCTCCCACTTTTGGAGTATCTTGGATGCCTTAGTCCTCGAGTGGCCGTCATCCGTGCAGGCTAAGTATGCCAAGCTGCTTCGCGTGGATTTTGCCCAGTGTATGCATGGAGGCACTCGACCCAAGGTGTCTCGCTTTCTGACCAATGTCCCATCTTTTGCACAGCTCGCATGTCGATGTGATGCCAGTCACTCCCACGATGCGTGGGGTGCCCAGTGGTCTCCTTCAGGTTGGCGTTTTGCCACCCATCTCGAGGCTCAGTACCCTCGCTTGCTGTGCCGTCGCCTTGTGGATGCCTTGTGTAGCAGCTTGACCCCCTCTCAGGTCCGTGCCTTAGCCCCAAGTGTCAGTCTGCACACCGACGCCTTGGCCACACTTGCGGTCCAGTCCCGCCGTTTCCCTCCCCTTGTGTCAGAGTTTCGCCAGATCGTGCATCTTCCTGCCGACGCACCGAAGCCCGCGAACTCTAAGACCTTGCTGCCTGGGGATTCTTCGGGGTCTTTAGGGGCTTCGGGTGGGGTGACTTCTAGGACTGCTAGGGCCTTTGATAAGGTGGGGATTTATAGAACTCCTGAGGAATTTGTTGCTGCAGCCAACGATGTGCGTCACCCGATGGACACACAAAATCCTTTGGCAAGAGTTACTTGCGATGCCTTGGACACTATTTTTGGGCAGGATCCAAAGTATGTTCGACTTAAGCGAAAAACCAATTTGCTAAAGGTGCAACTGTTGGCTAAGCAGTTGGCTCCAGAAGAAGCTGCCCTCAAGGCCAGCATGTCGGATGGAGTGCGAAAGGTTTTGGGAACAAAAAAGTTGGTCTTGTGGGAGCGCCTCCTCCGCCAGGAGGGTTACGATGATTTAGGCGTGATTCCCCTAATGCAACATGGCGTTCCGCTTGTCGGCACTCCTGACACACCTGCTTGCTTTGAGGCGAAACTCACCCCGGCTACGATCACCGAGCATCAACTTCGGGAGACTGCAAGATGGCGCCGCAAATCGCTTGTGGCGAAACCTTTGAGCATGACCGATGATTGCTTTGATCCCCTCGAGGAAGCGTGCAATGATGAGGTGCGGCGGGGTTCGCTTGAAGGGCCTTTTTACAGCGAGGCAGCGGTGTCAGAGTACTTAGGCCATGACAGGTGGTGTTGTGTGCGACGTTTTATCATTCAGCAGAATGATAAGTACAGACCGATTGATGATTGTTGTGAGTGCCAATTGAATGAGGGGTATTCTTCCACTTTCAAGTTGCGCTTGCAGGATGCTGATTACTTTGCATGTTTGGTCTTGAACATATGCAAACGCATCCTGTCATCGAGCTTGCGTGTGACCTTTGCCGAGTGGAGCGGAAAGTGCCTTGACTTGTCCCGAGCTTATAAACAGCTGGCGATCCTTCCTGCACATGTGGATCTGGCGGTCTGCTTAGTCCACACCCGGGCAGGCAAGCCAGTTTTCTACGTGCCGAACAGCCTCATGTTTGGATCGAATGCAGCAGTTTATGCGTTTAATCGAGTAAGTCGTAGCATTTTCTTCCTCTTGAGTCGATTGCTGATCATCCCACTGTCATGCTTCTACGACGACTTTCCAATCTTGACTCCCACTCGGGATGCGAGTGAGGTCGATGGCATGATTTCCGATTTGCTCGATATCTTAGGTTGGGAGCACAAGCGCACTGGCGAGGGCCACAAGGGTCTTCCTTTTGCAAAGCTTGTTGACATTCTTGGCATGCGTGCAGACCTGTCATGCATGGCGGGCGGGACCGTGACACTTTCAAACAAACCTGGACGCATTGACAAAATTTGCGATTTCGTCGTGAATATCAAGAGTGCTGGGTGCGTGACTAGACATCAGGCGCAGGTCTTGCTGGGCCTGTTGAATTTTGCCTGTGGTTACTATCACGGACGCGCCTTGCGATACTTGTGTAAAGGTTTGATTGATGTTGTTTCAGGCGGTAGTCTTGAAGGTCGTGCCCTGCAAGATTTTTGCGATGAGGTTGTGACGACTCTGAGGACCACGCCTCCTAGGGTCCTTCGTGTGAACTCTTGCAAAGATGTCTTGCATCTGTATGTCGACGGCTCATGGGAAGATGGGTTCGCCGGCATTGGAGCCGTCTTGTTTGATCCCGCGTCACAGATGGGCCGTGTGTGGGAAGGTGTGGTCCCCAGCCACATTATCTCTCGGTGGAGAAAGGAGGTTGGTGATCACTTGATCTGCCAGATTGAGCTGTATGCAGCACTCTGCATGCGCGTTCATCTCGCTGATTCGCTAGTTGACCGCAAGCTCATCTTGTGGACAGACAATGATGCCACAAGGTTGTGTCTGGTGAAGGGACGCAGCCCAAGCCCATCCATGCATACGATGATCAAGTGCTTTGGGCGGACGGATGTGGACAAACCTTGCTATGTTTGGATTGATCGCGTGCCTTCAAAGTCAAACCCGGCTGATGCTCCGAGCCGCGGTGATGGCAAGAGTATCTTGAAGAGTGTAGGTGCTCGTCGACTTGAGTCGTTTCCGACACTTTCATCCCTCGAGTGATTGCGTCAGTCCTGTGATGACACGCCTAGGTCATCATCTGGGGAGTTTCGGGACCATGGCGTGTC